GATTAATTGATACATCAATTTTCACCACTGTGTAGTTTTAATACTCTTTTTATAATCAGGTATTTTTATAAATGAATAAATGTATAATTTCAATGAATATTTTTCACGTTTGTAAAAAACAATTGATGAAATGTCACTCACCAGTACAGATTGAACAGCTGCATTGTCCATTACAATAACTGATGGTTCAGCTACACAAGGTAATAATTCTTCTTTCATCCACTTTTGGAACATCTCTGCTGTCATAGTTCTAAGATATTCATCTATTTCTTTTGTCTTTGCCGGAAACAATAGTTCTGCATCTTCGATAAAACCATTTGCACCTCCTGCATGTAAGACTATATATCTTTTACCTTCATCTAAATTTTTGCTTGAGCAACTTTCATTTTTATCTTGCCCTGACCGAGAGGCACAAGCTAAAGAATAGATTGTTAAAAACAATTAGTAAAGAACTACTGAAATAAAATCATATTGAACCACTATGTAGGTGCTTCAAACTGGACAAACGATATTCATCAAACACATAAGTCATTACACACACTGCTATTTCTCAAAAGATGCATTTCATTACATGCAAATCATGCCTTCTCCATTCCCTTATATCTAGAATTTCATAATTTTCAACACTACAAAATTAAGTAGATTGTTTGCTTGTCTTTTGAATAAAAGTTTCATCTAAAACCACAAATTAATAACCTTCAACCTTCAGTTCCATATATTCCATCAAAAAGTCAGGTCTTTCAATAACTATTATCATTTCTTTCCATGCAAATATAAATAAATTACTTACCATTCTTGTACAGTGAATAAATAATGCGCCTAATCAAGCCCTGTCCTAAATCATCCACTACACATGTTTTGTTCCCTTCTATTCCTGGACACTCCTTTCTAGAGTCTGAGCAATATCAGGGTCTTGCTTCCAATATCTGTAAAATTAAATTCAACTTCATCCAAACAATTTCACCTGACAGTTAATAACATTTTATTGACTTTCATAAGACACTTTATTATGATTTTACTTACTTTTGAACAATGTGAGTTTTCAGCTTCAATTCATAGGCAGCAATAACTGAAGAAGTTTCTATATTGCATTGCATCATTAGCTCTTCCACAAATCCTGCAATAAAAAAGATGTCTTCTTGGCACTGATGCTGTGTCACTTCTCCCTTCTGTGGTGGACTCATTGCTAAAGTTGCTTCAAAGTTATTGACGACATTAAATATTTACAAAAATAGTTATCTACTGTAAGAAATAAAGTAATTAAAATGCAAGTAATTACAAATTAAATATTTTATAAATAGCTATTATTGCTATTAAATTGTTAATTTAACTTATTAGTATATTAATGTCACATCTAATACTGTCTCTTATACACTATAATATAAATATTAAATAAATAATGGAAATTCTCCGAAATATGTGGAGTGAAATCATTCACGTCTATTCTCCCCTGTGTCGACGATCTCACAAAGGTTCAACAGGCTGAGGTGAAGGGCTTGGCCAGCGCCCCTCTCTGGGGGTGCCAGGCCAAAATACACAAAAGTCATAGACACGCACCTGTCCTTGAAACTCGGGTAAAAGGCCTGCCAACATAAGAGAAGTCATGTTAGCTGCACCTCTCTTTTCTGCAGAGAACTCTCCAAATTCTAACTGAACACAGTATGCGTAAATTATTAACTTTTAAAAATAGTAACCTTGAATATAGTTTCAGAATTCTTCAACGATGTTTTATCACTATAATAAAATATTTTTCATTGAACTTTCTCCTTTGTTGGAATGACAATACATTAAGTTGTGCCACAGCACCACGACACATTAGCCATGTTCGTGAAATAATATCGAATCATTTCTGCATGTTAATCACTGGGCGATGCCTCCAGGCTCCAGGCAGGTATGGCATCAGTGGCTGTCAAAAAAAAAAACGTTCACATGACTGAACGCTCTGTAGGAAAGTCAAAAAGAGTAAGAGAATAATCCTGTAATAAGACAAATTATTAGTGTTTGTATGATAATAAATAAGGTAATGGCTAAGGGATGATTTATTATAATGAAAAAGATACTAATTGTTAATATTATGAAAGTAAATATAAGTGTCAGAGGATAGTTTATTTAAAATACTAATTTTTGGGGTTGGTGATGGATGAATTTATATCTTTCTCTGAAGTTTTAAAAGATATTCTTAATTTTTATTTACTAGACCAATTTATGA